GCTGTGGTGCCCACTGCCATTTGGCAAAGCCAACTCATTGCTGATTAAAACACAACGCTTTGCTGAGGAAGAGGAGGCTGCTGCAGGCTGAGCCGGAGCCGGAGGAGGGGAGGGGGTGATGGCTGTGGGGGGCTCGGGCATGAGGCATGGCAAAGGGGGAGCCGGTGCCGGAGGGAGCGGGAGAGCGGGGCTGGCCGTGGGGCGGCGACAATGCTCGGGAAACGGCTTTCATTTCCATATTTATATAAATGCATCCAAGTTTAGTCCTTCTTTTAATTTTTTTTTCTTCAAAAATGGAAATTTCCATGAAAACATGTTTGATTTTTCTCCCTTCAGTTTTACTAATACCCCCATGAAAAGGTTCATCTGGTCTTGCTTCATTTCCAATTTCTGATCTGCTGAGCCGATGCCAGGTTTGCACAGTCAGCCTAGCCATAGCATTGGGTCTGTGTTCATTCTTTTTTAATTAAAAGAAGTTGCATTCTGAATTTTTACAAAAAGAAACAGTTGATGGAAAGTCTTAGTCCCCCAAAAGAAAGAGGGAAAGTAGGCAGGCTCATCTCTGGGTGCTCGGAGGACAGCAGTTGTCCTTCACCACATTTCCAGTCCTGCTGTATCTGAACATTGGGGCGGGAAGGGGCAGGCGGTGGCCGCTGCACGGGCTCCCCATCCCACCACTGCTCATTCATGGTCTTTGTGGGGAAAAAAAATGCAGCAATGTGCCAAAATCCTGTGTTTTCACACAGTTCAGGCCCCTTGGGAGTGCCTGTGCACGCTGGCTGCCAAGGGGTGGATGCAGTTGCCGAGATGCAGCTGAGCTGGTGGTGGAGCTCCCTGCCTGGCCCCGGTGCTGCACCCAGGAGATGTGCTGGCGGGCGGGCTGAGCGTTCCCCTCCTTCCCAACCACCCTTCAAAGAGCTGTGCAAGCTGAAGACTGATCCAAACCCTGGGCAGGAGCTGGGCGCAGGATGGGGCCCTGTGGAGGGGATGGGGCAGGGGGGTGTGTCTGGGGCCATCAGGGCTCTGGGCTGGGGCGGCGTGGGAGTGGGGAGGATGGAGGTGTAGCGTCTGCCTCTCTCCCTCCGGATGGACCAGCTGCCTCCACCCTGCTGGCTGGAGGGAGTTGGGATGGGAATGGAACGGGGATGGGATGGGGATGATGGAGCTGGGATGAGATGGAGATGGGGAGGGGGATAGGATGAGGATGAGGATGGGATGGGATGGGATGGGATGGGATGGGATGGGATGGGATGGAGATGGGGATGGGGATGAGGATGGGATGGAGCCGGGATGGGATGGGGGGTGGGGCAATAGGATGAGGTGAGGTTAAGGATGAGGGTGGAGATGGGGATTGGGATGGGATGGGTCAGGCAGGACTGGGCATATCTGGGAGACTCTCCAGCCCCACAGACATCTTCCACCTGACAGAAGGAAGGGAAGATGCCCAGTGGCAGGAAAGGGGATGGATATCTTGGCAAACTTCCATGGTGGGAGGGTGGCAGGGCGCCCGGGGCACCTCAGGCTGGGGACAGGGTGCTCTGTGCCCAGAGCTGTATCTCATGCCAGGCATTCCCGTCCTTTTTCCTTCCAGGGCCCACAGACCCTGGTGTTGGGGAGAGGGTGGCCTGGGGACACCCTGATGTCAGGGAAAGGGTGGCCCTGAGGACAACCCATCCCAGCCAAAACCAGTTTTGTGTGGCCACAGGAGCAAGTGCTGGGACACTGCAGGGACAGGGCACGTTTGCAAACACAACCCTAAATGTAAATCAGCTCTTCTTACCATGGTATTTATAATTCTTATCTAAAAATAACCCCAAATTCAGCTTCCCAGAGGACAGCAACTGAGCATCCCCCAGACCCCAGCTTGTGTGCGAAACCATCCCAGTAATTTTGGGATCTCTGCAATCTGTAATTCACAGCCCCGCTGGTTTTGCATGCGAGGCACTGCTTCAAGCTCCCTGAGGCCCATGCATCCCATCCCCTGGGAAGGAGGGGGGACCTGCTGCAGCCCCCCAGGGACACGCTGGTCCTCCCCGAGCCCCGTGGGGCAGCTGCCCATCCAGTGTATTTGGGGCTTGGCATCAGACCTCAGGTACCCATCCTGGGGCAGTCCCATGCTGGGATGCAGAAACTAGATATCTGCAGGCAGAGCTGGAGCAGGTGTGGAGAGAGCAGGAGACATTTCTGGAGAGGCAGCTGGGTGATGGAGAGGAGCCACTGGGGATGAAGGTCTCCATCAGGCGGCCAGACCCCAGCATGGCAGCAGGAGAGCAGCTTGGCTCTCCAACGCCCCGCAGGAGCAAATCTTGGGGTGGCTGGGAACAGAGACATCGGCTGAAGAGAGACACCCGAAGGGGACCCTGAGGCTCCTGGGAGGGGGCTGGGACTGGTGCCCACCCCGGAGCGAGTGGGAGAGCCCTCAGCCCAGAGGGGAAGGTCCCACCCGGAGCTCCTGCTCCCCTTGGGTTGTCCCCAGGCAGCGGGGAGCGGAGCCACGCAGCAGTTCCCGCTTGGGAAAACATCGGCAAAGCAGAGTGTGTTCAGCACCCAGAAGCCTGACACCCCCTCACCCTCAGAGAGGGAAAAATGCTGAGGAAAAGGGAAAAAAATGAATAGAGAGGAGGGCAGGGAGGGAGAAACCCTTCCTGGAGAGCCGCGTCTCTGCCAAGCTGGAGAAACCTGGGGAGGGAGGCAGGGTCCCTGCCGGGGGCTTTGCCCTGGGAAAGGGGTTCGGGGCACGGGGTCAGGGGTGCAGCTGGGTCCCCGGGGGGAGGCAGGCACAGATCCCTCCTCCCGGCCACGGGAGCATGCAGAGTCACGTGTGTGGGGCTGAACACGCGTGTCAGCATGGGGGTGGGCGCAGGAAGGGCGGGCAGGTCACACCACAGCACCCACGGGGACACGTACGATAGCGCAGGCGGGAGCGGGGCAGGGGCACGCAGCTGCCCACGGGCATCCGTGGGTCTCTGGTGTGTGTGAGGGGTCCCACCTGCAGGGCTCTTCTGCTCACCCTTCAGCTCCAAGGGGCTGTTTGGGGGCTGGCAGCAAAAAGCCGTAGGAGGAGAGCATTTCCCTGAGCACTGAGCTTCACTGGCCCCTGCAGCAGCCCCCCGCCTCCCGGCGCAGCCCTGAGGATGGTGAATGAAGCCCCCTTCTGCGTGGGAGCAGGATGGGGAGATGTGCAAGGGCAGGGAGGCATTTTGGGGACCATCATATCCCCAGGGCACAGATTGTGCACGTCCATTGCCCTCACCCCAAGTGAGGGTGCCCGGTGTGCTCTGCCCACGTGGTGGCATGGCCAGAGTGGGTCTGGAGGCCACCAGCCCTTGGGAACCGTGGCCCTGTCCCCATGCCCATGGGTGGGAATCAGGTCCCTGCCCTGCCACAGGGCCACAGGGTCCCCTCCGGCTGGGCCACGGCAGGAGCAGGAGGCTGGATGCGGGGATGCAAGGTGGGAATGAAGGTGGGTAATGGTGCAATTAATGGAAAAGCCATTAGACCTTTCTCCTCCTCCCCCTCTTCTTCCTCACTCCGCCACTTGCTGTCCTCCTCCACTTCCACCTCCTTTCTCTCCCTCTCTCCGCTCCTCCTTCTCTCTCTCCTCTCAAAGATTTCTCCCTATTTTTGTCTGGTTAGAGCCTTTTCTTTTCTTTTTAACCCTTCCATGGCAGCCTGAAAGGAGTCTCAACGCATCTCAGCTGGCAAAGGCAATGCTTTCCCGGCCGGTGGTGGGAGCCCCATCTCCCAGGGCAGCAAGGGGCTCCTTCTGCTGCAAAATCATCCAGAAATGGGACAAAAGCTTAGAAGAAAGCTCTGCTGGGGGGTCAGAAGGTGGGAGGGTGCAAAGGGTAGTGTAGATGGAGGAGGGGGTTCTGGGTCCCCCGTGGGTGTTGCCAGGTGTACCCGCAGCAAGGTGGGCTCAGAGGGAAACCACTCTCCTGCCATCTTGGACCTCGTTACTCCACTCTTAATCCCCTTTTGGGGCTTTTTTATGTTAAATGCAGCAGAGGGGTGGCTCAGCAGCAAAAAACCCGAGGAGGAGCGGGGCAGACCTTCTGCCTATGCCCACTCTGACATCTCCCCCCTTTCCACCCTGGCTTCAGCACCGCAGGGAAACGGCAGTCCAGGACACAGCCTTTTGGCTCCCTCTCTACCTGCACTTTAGGCCAAGATGCTCACCCCACGGCAGGGGGGACCCACGGGCCCTGCTCCCCTGGCAGCCCCAAGGCCCGTGGGGAGAGGTGGCGGGCAGAGGGGGGAGTGGGGACCGGCTCCCTGGCGCAGCCAGCCCTCTCCTGCAGAGCGATCGGGGCCGGCCCCCCCGGGGAGCCCGGATGATGGCGGGCTGGTTTGGGGACCTGGGGACCTGCCATGGTTTCTCCAGCTTCTCCTGACACACTTCTGCCCCATCCGCTCCCACCCACCCCAGCATGCCCCCCATCCCGCAGCCCCCCGGCCCCGGAGGGATGCTGCTGTGGGCACCATCAGGGCCTGTATTTGGGGGAGGGGGGAGCAGTTGCCAGGGCGACAGCATCCTCCTGCAACATGGAAACCACGGTTTCCATGGAAACCCTTTTTGCCCCAATTATTCTACCACTGCCACGTCCTTTAATTTGCCTTTAATATTTGCATTTTAGAATTCCCCCCCCTTCCTGCCCGGCAGCAGCCGGGACCCCCGGGCAGCCCCCGGGGCCCGGTCCCCAGCAGGTCCCTGGTCCCCACGGGTGGGCGGCGGGTTTGGGAAGCAGTTGCCCCGGCAACAGAAACAGGGCGTTTCTGGCAGCGGTGGTCGCCATGGGGACGGGGATGCTGACGAAGGCTTGTGAAGCTGAGAAGACAAATTGCCCTCATCATTATCTCCAGGCTTGTCAATCAAACATATTCCCTTATTTACCTCGGCGAGGAGAGAGCCCCGGGAGCACACGGAGAGGGAGGGAGCGAGAGGAGAGCTGCTTGCCCCGAACTCCGCACTGGGGAGGGAGCATTTCCAGCCCCTCGGGATGGCCACCATCACCTGCAATCGCTTCACCGAGGAGTACCAGCTCTTTGAGGAACTGGGCAAGTAAGTTGGTGACGGGGCTGGGATGCTCGGAGTGGGGCTGTGCCCTCACTGGGAAACAGCCTCAGCGGTGCTGGGAACTGCCAGAGACTGGGGAAGGGAGATGGGCATGGAGCAAACGCCCCGGGGAGTGTGTGGGGGGACTCAGGGTGAGATGGGGGCTGCCAGCCCCAGCCCTGCCCGCTCCGTCCCTTCCTGGGTTCGGGTGGCTGCCAGTGGGTGCTTGTCCGGGGGCTTGGGTCACCCCGGGGGGCTGGAGTTGCCTGGGGAGGGGGTGGCTGCCCCTCTTATGGAAAAGCTGCTCCCGAAAGAGGATACTGCTGGCTCCCCCGGGAACTTCTCCAGCCGGGAGGAGGGACGGGACAGCCGAGGAGGAAAGCCAAAGCAGCGGGCGCCCCTTGCACTTCTTTAGGGAATTTCTGTGTGTGGATTCACCAGGGTTTGGCTAGTCCCGCAGGAGACCCAGCACGCCTGGCAGCCCCCGGAGAATCCCGGCGGCTCTTGGACAGACCCAGGTGCCTCCCAGCCCTGCCCCTGTCCCAGGGCGAGTGCCCCCGTGTGAGCCACATCCTGACCCCGCTCAGGGAGGGCTCAGCTCGGTGGGTCCGGCTGCCGTCGCCTGTGCCTGGGAGAGGGTGCGTGTCTGTGTGCATGTGTGTGTGCAAACAGAAATCCCTGTGCATGGCAAGGCGATCCCGGGGGGCACTGAGCACCCCAGGGTGGAGCAGGAGATTTCAGGTCCTCTGTGCAGGGTAAGGGGATGCTCTCGTGTCTCACCGAGCGTGCGTGGCTGTGAAACGGGTGCAAAAGCGAGCAGGTGTGCGCCTGTGTTTTGGTTTCTGTGCCTTTTTTTGGAGCTGGCGTGTAAATCTGGGGCGTGTGGCCACGTTCCCCTCGGAGCGGCTCGGCGGCGTGGTGGCGGGCTCGGGGTGCCTGTGCCTGAGACGGGGCAGCTGGGTCATGCCATAGGGACAGACATGGGCTCCAGCCCTGCAGCCCCACACCACTCGGGAGCAGGGCAGCCTGCGCCGAAACGTGCGCCCGCACGTGTGGGCGTGTGAAATGGGGGCGAGGGAGGATGGAGAGGACAAAGACGGAAAAATTGAGAGGCTGAAACGGGGGAGTTCTTTGTGCCAGGCTGCATGGTTGCTGCTAATGTGCCCCAGCCAAACGGGGGAGCCAGGTTGCTGCTACAAAGTGCAGCTCCTTGGAGGGGAGTGGACCCCCGGTCCCAGGACATGCACCTCCATCCCCTCAGCGCTGGGGCGGCTGCGAGGGGCTGGCAGGGAGCAGTGGTTCCCTGCAGTGGGGACAGTCCCAGCCGGGGGGGCTGCGGGGGGGCGGGAGGGAGGACGGAGT